GGAGGAGGTGGTGGAACTGACAGCTGATCAACGGCTGCAGCTGGGGTTTCAATAGGGAATGGGTAAGGGTAGGACTGAGAAACTGGCATTTGACATTCAGTCGCGCACGGAAAAACCGGAAACCAACAGGGGGCGCATTCCATCGGGTCGCTCTGTGGCATAATATCACACAGCTCCTTCTCTGTTTCCGCATCCTCCAGCCAGTCGAAGGCCTCAGCCGTCTTCTCCAGGGTCTCCAGGAAACGGATCAGGTCTTGACAGGCCTCTCCACACTCCGCCTCCTTTGCGGCACAACTTTCTTCTCCCTCCTCCTCCTCCTCATCCTCATCCCATGTCCTACACTTCTTCCGCTTTCTGTGCTCGCATAACTTGCGCTGGGTGCATGGACAGCCCTTTCTTTTTTGTATTTTCTTCCTCTGGCAACACGTCTTCTTTTTAACCTCCTTTGTCACCTTCCTACAGGCCCTACGACAGTTTGCTTCCCTGTGCCGCAGACTCTTCAGCGCTGATCGGATCTCCTGTAGGGTGAATAGGAGACCCGGAACGTAGGCGGTTTCGGGGTTGATGTTTGGAGCTAGTCGCCGGCGTCTGTCCTGTAGACTAGAGTTTACTACCTCCAGCGCGCCAAGCAGGAGTCGGTCTCGACAGGGTAAGTTGTTGATGCGTTTTCTGATTTGCTGCAAGGAGTCCAGGATGGTGACTGCAGCTGGCGGGCCGACCACACTTGGCTGACCGACCACACTTGGCTGACCGACCACACTTGGCTGACTGACCACACTTGTCTGCGTAGTTATCTCTTTTTGCCCATCCTTAAGCGGTTTCAGCGTCTCCGGTGCCTGCGATTTTCCGGACTTGCCGCGACAGAATATGCTCTTCATTTTCACTTAACCCTTAGATGAACAGACAACTACCAATATGAGGCGATTAGAGAGCTGCATTTTAAAACTAGAGCATATGCTCAAAAGTGCGCATGGAAATTGGGTTGGACGGCGAGGATTTAGGCTCAGCACATTTAAGGATAATACACCTTGTTAAAAACGGTACACCAAAAGTATTCAAGTTAAAATAAACATGTTAATATAAAGTAATAGAGTAATACAATCACGGGGACAAAGAATTTTTTCAACTGGGATTTGTACACAGTCATTGAGAAGGAACATAGATCACATATGTCAAATAATAGATATCAGTTTTATCTGTGGGGATGAGCAAAACGCTGATATGTAAATATACATCAGGTCTATGTTTGAATGCGTCACCCGGATCCGTCATTATAAAGTCCTCCTGAAGTCAGTCCTAGGTAACGACAAATTACAGCGGTCAAGCACCATCATCTTCAGGCAATCTCATAGCGACTATGACTGTTAGGAGTCAGCCTAACCGACTGCGAGCATAACCTTGCATGCTGTCCTGACGAATCATTCCTGTGGCCGACAGCCAACAATGCTTCCTTATTCAATGAGAACGGACTCAAGGTCACGTGTTTTTTCGCTGGTGACTGTTGCCACTTGATAACCTTAAACCGCTAGACCGGATATTCACTCGCACACACACGTGCGCACACGCACGCGAACACACGTGAGCGCGCCACCCTGCGGCCAAACAGCAGGTGACCTCAATACTCGACACCCCTTGAGTAATCCAACGCACCAATCATGCAACACTTGAGCTTGCTTAACAATCACTTATAAGCAACTGTCACACCTCACACAGGGACTTGCTGAGACCTGCAGATACCCTCAGGCGTGACTGGACGTAGTCCACATCATCCCGGGCTTCGCCCGCGGCCACTGCCATCCTCATTCCGGGTGGCTTCCGATTTTACACCCTTATTGCTGTGTTCCTCCTTGGGGATTCAAAGAGCGCGTAATCAAACGGTAATATCTCAGCTTGTCATCGTTACAGCAATGAAC